GAAGCGTTTTCAAAAAAGTGTTTAAGAACCCTAGTTCGAAGATGAAGAGTTACTTTAGAAAAATCGGAAAAACCTTTGAGGAAAACAACAAAAGCTCATAATATACACAGATCTAAGACATATCTAAAAGAAATCGGAAAATCTTAAGAGTTAGAGTTTCAGAGAACCTAGAGAAGATGAGAAAACCTTAAAATGCTACCGATTTTAGCTGGAATGGTCATAGATCTTACTCGAATGGCCATGGATGGCCGAAAAATGGCATGAGAAACCATGGGTAGGAGTTGAACCGCTCCAGGTTCACCTGAGGACCTTAGGGTAGTGTCAAACCAGCGTGGGGTGAAGTAGAGGCCAGGAGATGATGAGAGGCCATGGTTTCCGGCGAGGGAGGTGGCCGGAGAAGGTGGACAAGGTCCATCGGAGAGAGGGGAGAAGAGAAAGTTCTAGAGAGAACCATAGATAGAGGGACCGGTTGAAAAAGAATGAGAGGGGGGAAATGAGAGATGGGGGGTAGTCATTAGGGTTTAATTATGGAAGGGGCTGATTTGGATTGTTGATTCAAATAATCAACGGCTCAGATAGAATGGGGATTGGACCTGGTAGGATAGGGTATTGGGATTGGGGTCTGGTGGGTTATTTAATTGGGCTTGGGGCTGGTTCAATTGGGCTAGAATTGAAAATGGAATTGGCTATTTGTTAAATACCCAATTAAAATTAGATAAATAATTAATAAAAATAGCTAATAATTAGATAAAATAAAATTAAAACTAAATAGGTGAAAATAAGGTAACTAACTAATATTTAAAATATAAAATGACCGATTATTGAATTAAAATAGCATAAAGTGTACAATTAGGCTATAATTGCAAAATTATTGTAATTATAGCCAAACAATGCCAAGTTGGCTAATTTGTGAAATAATTAAATCCTAATAGGATTAAAAATAATATATTGAGCTAAGAAATACTTTGAAATTACTTGTAATGTAATTTATGAATAATTATTGGATATAAAGTACTGAATAAATTAGAAAATAAATTGATAATAATATGAAAAATTATGAAAAAATATCAATTATTATAAAAAGTGATTTTGAACGTATATATGCAAATTTAAAAATAGTTTAAGGAAAAATTGGGTATCAACATTACCCGTCCTCCTCCACATGTTATTCTTGATAGTGATAACCCTTGTTTTCAGTTTTCCGATAGTCAATTTTGCCATGATGTTGCACCAGGTCAGCAATTAAATGATGAAGTTGTGAATGCTCTTTATGGTAATCAAAATGATGATGAAAATGATGATTTAGATGAAATGCAACCGAATTTAGATGATACACCTGCTAGTCCTGTTGTTAACCCAACTGATAATAATTCAAATGATGCCCCGCCTGACCCTCCTGTAGTACCCCCTACTTCTAATAGACAACCTTCTAGAAGGCCCGAAATATCTCTTGTTTGGAACTTATTTACTCAATTAAGAGCTTAAAATAAGGCTAAGTGTAAAACTTGTGGGGCTTTGATGGCGCATAAATATACTGGAGACCGTAGCGGTACGGGTAGTTTGACTAGACACATAAAGATACACCCTAGAGATAAAGCTAGATATCTTTAATGAAACCTACGCAAGAGGGGACAAGTGTAGGTAATGAGGTTAACCCTAGTACCGGGTCAAATCTAGTTAACCGAGAATTAACACTGTTACTGGATGGCATTTTATATTACGATCCAAATAAAGATCATGAAGAATTGGCAAAAATGATTTCTGTTATGTGCTTACCCTATAGTTTTCCTTCTAACCCTCACTTTGTGCATTATATTAGAAGAGTTTTTAATTCACGTCACACAGGTAAGTTTATTGCTAACACAGTTGCAGATATTTGTAGATATTTTTGCATTAGAGATAAAATAATGTCAATTTCAATGGATAATGCTTCTAGTAACACTAATGCTATAGGCTTGCTTACAACTACACTAAATCCTACATTTAGTAATATTTTCCATATTGGATGTATTTGTCATATTTACCATTTAATCGTCGGTGATGGTATGAAAATTTTAAATATGAAAATTGAAAAGGTTAAAATGTCTCTTAATTGGATTTTTTATTCAAACCGTAGAAGTAGACTTAAAGAATATTTTAAAAAATGTAATGAATTTGGCCTTAGAGAAAGAAAGGTTCCTAAACCTTGTCATGCTATTAGAGATAATACATAGATTAATATGTAACTTGCATTTTGGCACATCTTCATTAGTTTTTTTTTCTTTTAATAGTGGTATAGTACCTTGTTGTGCTCATTCCATTGGGGGGGGGGAGGAAGACTAAGAAAGATATTGCCATTTTTTGTTAATGTCGTAATAATAAAAATTATAATGCATTCCCTTGAATATTTCTTTGCAATTTATTTTGTGTTTAAATTTGAATTAGAAGATTTAAGTCACAATTATATATATATGGCAAGGGAGCTAAGGATCACTTCCGATGGGGCTCAGGAATAAATTATCAGAACTTCAGCCCTGGCTAGCTACTAACCTCTAGGTAAATCTTAAACCACGGTGCTCCTCACAACCCTTCAACGTCTCCTTTGGCTAAATGGGTTTAACCGGGCACCACCGGTTAGGTTGGCCTAACCAAGGTTTACTGTCAAAATTGGTAATTGCCTGGTCTATATTGCTCTTAACCTATAACCTCATCGGGGTGATACAGTAGACTCTCAGCTACAAAATATGCTTCGTAAATAGACTATGAATACTAAGTCTAACATTTACCTGATTAGCCTATCATTTAGGCTAAATAGTACTGCAAAATAAATAAGTAAATAGAGAAGAGTAGAATGCGATACCCGAGACCACTAGATTTCTGGCCAAGTGATCTTTTTAATTTTTATTTCTTATTCAAAAGACTACAGAGGGGTTCTTTACAAGAGTAGATAGAAAATAGAGAGAAGGGAGAGTGTTGGCTAATGCCTCCCTATCTAAGTAATGAAATGATCCTTATATAATGGATCAGTTACAATCAAATAAAACTAAAACAGTTCTGTGGCCGACAAAATGAATTACACATGGCCGACAAGATATAAATAAAAGCACTTATAATTGCTAACGGATAGACTACTTTATAAAAGTATATTCCTTGTGATAATGGGG